GGCGGGGCGGGGAGGAGGAGTAAGTAGGGCACGGATCCAGTGTGGGTACCTGAGAGGTTGACTCGACCTTCGACACCCCCACAAGATGAGGCTACTGTTGCTGATCCTGACCGTGTCCCTGATTCCAATGAGTCAAGCTAAACATCACGAATCCCCTTGCATCTTGCTGTATAATCAGATGGCTGCGTGGATCCCCAAGAGTGGATCCAGATGTGGCCCGCACCCTGTCTTCCTGGATTGCCCAGGCCACCGCGCACCTGAAGGAGTGGGCGGGAATGGGCTCCCTGGCACTGTTGATCATGTTCCTGTGTGCTCTATGCCTCTTCTGCCTACTCAAAATGCTCCGCCAACAAAAGCGTGATCGCACGCTTGTAGCACAAGCCTTCGCAGCTATTGAAATAGGACAATCGCCAGAGATCTGGCTCGCAGCTTTGGGCAAACCCTAATGGCAGGATGACAGCATGGACACTGCACTCAGGGTCCCTGAAAGGGTCGCCCTGAGGAGGGCATGACCAGCTGCATATGGGTCGACACCGCTATTTCCCATCCCCAATAAATCGGTGTCGGACAGGTGGGCAATCGGCTCCATGCCCTAGAGCATAGAACAGTTTGCCTAACATGGTCCTCAAACATCTGGGGGCTGAGTCCTCTACCCTCTCCTGCTTTAAAAACAAAAAAGGGGGAACTGTGGAGTGTCACCGCCCATCGCCTACCGCGCTCATCTTAAAGATGGCACCTAGTGGAAGCTCACTATGCGCTCGTTGTAAACAACTTCAAGGAAGTGGTGCGCGAGGAGCGTGGAGAGCACGGGAACATCACATGCAGCCAATCCCTACCTGAGAACTGATTTCCGCACACGTGGACAACGTCCCGATTGGCCAGGGGCTCTTTATAAGGTCCTAGGGTTGGGGAGGAAGGGAATAACTTCAGTATTCAGAACCTGGGGAAAATAAAGTGCTGTAGAGAAGACCGTCTCCGGAGTCATCAGTTGCGTGACAGTGTTGGACTGTAATCAAAGCCCCCACAAGGCTAAACCATCAGGGAATTTTCTAAGTCCTGCAGAGGCCTGGGAAGGTCTTGTGCTGCCCAGGGGAGGAAATGGTAGGGCAGAATCAGTCACTTACCAAAAGCTCCAGACTCAGAATCATAGTTTGTTTTTCTTTTTCTTTTTTTAAAAAATAATTATTTATAGGAGCCAGCAGATGGCATAATGATTAAAGTGCTGGATTCCCACCTGGCCTATCACGGTTTGAATCCTGGACCTAGTGGCTTGAAACTAATGCCAGGAACAAGTGTGTACATGCCCAAAATCCTGAGAGGAGAATGGAGGAGAGATATCTCTCTCTCTCTCTCTTTCTCTCATCCCATAGCAAAAATGACTCACTCTTTAAAAAAAAAAGGATTATTTAATTGTATTTATTACTTTTACTATTTTTAAATTTGCCATAGGGCACATGTGCTTACCAGAGAGAAAGAGAGAGGGGAAAAGAGAGAAAGCAAACCATCAGGTCTAGGACTTGAACTTGTTGACAGAGAGCCTTGTGAATGTTATCTCTCTTTTTTTTTTCCTTTAGTTTTGCTATGGGACTTGTGTGCTCGCCAGAGAGTGATAGAGAAAGAGAGGGAAAGTGAGACAGCACCCCCCCACCCCCAAGGGTGGATGACCATGCCACAGTTCCTTCTCTTCCATTCTTCTCTGTGGGTTTTGGAAACACATGCACATGTGCCATATGGGGGTCTAGTACATTAACCACCATGCCATCTGCTTGCTCCAGAATCTTACTTCATAATTCTAGACTCAATAGTAGAGCGAGGTAGATGGTGTCCAGTACACCAAGCAGGTAGGGCTGAGAAAGCAGAGGAGCATTAATGATCAGTTAGGGAAGGAGTCTTGTTGTGGTCTCTGAGTCTGGCCTTCTTCCCAAGAGGTCAACCCCCACCAGGAAGATGCATATGTTTAAATGAACCAATATAAGGGACCAGCAGGTGGCATGGTGGTTAAGGTGCTGGACTCCCGTATGGCTGACCCTGGGTTAAGTCCTGGACCTGGTGGCTTGCTTTCCCACTTTCCTTCTCTTTCTCCATTCTCTCTATCTCTGTGTCTCTCTGGTCAAATTGAAAAATGATAAATAATAAATATGAGGAGTATTTAAAAGTTGATATACAATATGTACTTTGAAAAAACTATTTATGGATTTCAAAATTTTTTCACCAGAATACACTCGTACTTTAACTCTATTTTGCATTCATGTCTTTGAAGTCCACTTTTCATTGTTTCTGAATAAAAGATTGTTCTTCATATATAGTTTTATGTGTAGTCACTTTCTGCTCATTTGAAACTATTAACAGTTATACAAAAAAGTACACTTTAAAAAAAAAGAAAGAAAAAAGATATCTGTACTCTTAGGCAGAAATGGAAAGATCTGAAGCTATGATAGTAGAGAGGATAAGTGTAGATATCAGAGACTATAAGGGAGGGGAGTGGATGGTAGTGGGTGGGTGAGAGAAGACAGGTGGGAAGGGAAAAGAAAAGGAACATTTAACAGACAAAAGAATGCAATGTTCTCTGTTAAAAGTCTGTAACATGGGACCAGCAGGTGGTATGGTGGTTAAGGCGCTGAATACTCCCACATGGCCGACTCCAGTACAAGTCCCGTACCTAAGTGGCTTGCTTTCTTACTTTCTCTCTCTTTCAGTGTCTCTCTCTGGTGAAATTAAAATAAGTGAATGAATAAAGAGAATTAAATAATAATTTTTTAAAAGTCTGTAATTTTATGGAGGATTCTTAAAGACCTACAAATAGAACTATCATGTGATCCAGCAATTCCACTCCTGGGTATCTACCCAAAAGATAGGAAAATGCTGTTGGAGAAGTGCTTGCACGTCTCTGTTTATTGCAGCACTATTCACAATTGCTAAGACATGGAACCGACTCAACTCAGATATCCAGAAGCAGATGAATGGATTGAAAAAGCATGGCACGTATACACTGCATTACTACTCAGCCATAAAAAACAACAGGACCCTGACATTTGATAGAAAGTATGAATATGGGGACCAGCAGTCGGTGTAATGGTTATGTTGCTGGACTCCCATGTTGCTGACCACAGTTCAAATCCCAGACCTGGTGGCTTAAATTCACGCTGGGTGTGCATTCGTGCCCAAAATCCCAAGAGGAGAATGGAGAAGGGATTATGCAGTGGCCATCCCCCCTATGGGGTGATTTCTCACTTTCTGTCTCTCTGTTTCTCTCTCTTTCTGCCAGCACAAGCACCCTATAGCAAAAACCTCTCAAAAAAAAAAAAAAAGAAAGAAAGAAAAAAAAAAAGAAAAAGAAAAAAGAAA